CTGCAATGACCAATGTTCCTGCTGTTGCTTCTATTTCCGGCATGGTCATTGTATTCTTCGTATTAGCGCCAACGATATATGACATGAAGTCATTGCGACCAGTCTCTAGATTGAGACGTTTTTGTACCCATTCTACACTACGGCGAAAATGATATATACGTTCGTTGAAGGCTGATTTGGGGATACAGTACCACAAAATCTTATCAATTACCGGGTAAAAAGTTATACTGGCTAGGAGGCACGATGCTTTGAGATGGGCAAAGAGGAACGATACCCAGCGATGATATTTTCCTTTCGCGAGACATTCAAAAGACTGTCCAAATGTCAAGTCACCCTGTGTTTCCTGTTGTCAGAATCTTACACAATTACATACGAAGATTACACTTGCCGTAATATCAAAGGTAGTAAAATTGTACCAATCTTTCAGATCCAGGAATCTTCGTGTTCGAGCTTCTTGTATCAACAGGCCCGTATACTTCTGCAAGAATGGCTCTTGGGCTTTCAGAGCGCCTGGAGAGAAGGCATGATTCAAGATCTTCCTTTGTCTTGTGTGATCATCCTCGAAAGAATCCAGAATTGAGAAGACTCCATTTGGAGCTGGTCTAATCCAAGCGGGGTTTTTGGTAAACTCAGCATGCCCACGACCTCGCGCTCCATAGATGTCATGCCATGCTTGGCCATCAATGAAAGATAGTTCGTCTGGTGCTAATCGTACAACCTTGCCATATTTGGTGTGAATGGCCCAAGTGTCATGGACCAGGTTACCGCGAGATAGAGATATTGCGTATGGAAGACGGGAGATCTTCCAGAGCAGTGGGCCTGGGTACTTAGACAGCGGGTGGAAAAAGTAGTTGTAGAAACATCGGAAAGTATTATACTAGAGACGTTTCAGTACGAAACAGAGAAAGTACTCACGCAAAATTTAGGGCAACAAAGAGGACTACAACTGTAACTTACTGCTAGAAAAAAAGCCACAAAGTACAGACTGACAGCCTTTAGGCCAAGCTCATTAGGAAAATAGTGATCCATTATTCACCCTATACATGGTGGTGGAGAGCACGGGGAAACGGCAGACTATGTCTGTGTTCAACAGTTCTAATGGGCATGCCCAACTACCCGGAAACTATTCCAGATTTTTCCACATCGTCAGGAGACAGCAATCGGCATGAAAGCATTGTTGCGACTCGCGTAGGCGTCGTGAATGCCATGTAGCAATGTCTCCTGCAGAACCCCAGGATTGAGAACCTGGAAAATTTACCCCGGAATAAAGCACGGAAGAAGATCTACAAGCTTGACTTAAGCAATGTAACATCTGACGGGCATACAGGACCTCCACCACCATCCGTAAAAATAACGTTCCCGTGTTTTGTGTAATCTCAAATTATGGAGGCAGTGACATATGCCTATGATCTTATTGGGCTGATTTCTGAGGAAGTCTTGGTCACTAATCATAGATAATATCCCTCAGCTTTGAGACTTAGGGATTGTATATCAATCACCCTATTCAACCTGTAAGTATGTGCTCACTTGCATAAGCAGCATTAGTCTTGCAACTCTCTTATGTACTCGGAGCAAGAAAGGCTAGCGTCACCAGCCCCCCTAGCATGCTGACCCACCTGCCGAGCTAACGCCTAAAGCTTAATAAGACCATAACGCTTGACAAGACAAACGAGACAAGCTAATAAATGCCTAAACAGAAGATACCTACAGTAGTATTAGTTACGCCTCGCCACACGTGTTCATCTGCGAAGTGGAAAGTCGAGATTGATTATCATCACATCTTTTTTATCAGGTGCGCATCACACGATCACACTTTAGTCTCTAAATTCCTTGTCCCATCTCATCAACTACACGATACCAACCTATTCACTCGGAAATTGATATCTATGCATTAGGGCTGATCGGCTTGAAGAATCAACAGCTCAAACAGACTAAGATATTGTCAATTCAAACCAGCCAAGTCACGTGACTAGACACAAGCGCTCGTCTGGCCAAGAAAGAACGCAACACAAAAAGGACACACTCTCTTCAATATTCAAATCCAATATTTTCATAGCTTTTCTGAAAACGCCCCTGTGATTCGATATAGGCAAATCTCATTATCCTCAGTGTAAGAGTTGGCAGCCCACATTTTACATGTACAAGATTCTTCGGGTTGAATTATTTTAAGATTACAGAAGAGCTCCACCAGTACACGCCACTGATGATACGCTGAGAGCGAGTCCTCTACACGATGGTCTGATCTACCGTTCTAGTTTCTCTAATGGCACCATCAGGTATCTCATCAGAAAAACTCCTAGCACTCTTTCTATCAAGCTCAATCTCACTATCTTGTGGTAAATAGTGTTTGGACCGTGGGCTTCGTCGATTAAATCCGGATAAAGAGCCTCTGCTTGCAGAATCCTGTGTTGTACGGGTTGAGCCGAAAAGACTTCGTAAAGACTGTCCAACTTTTGTGTTGGTCAAGACATAGCGGAAAAGTTGCGGACAGACCAGCAGACACGAACAGATGATTGTTACGTTCAACTCGATGGATCTTATGCTTGTTAGTTCAGTATCATTTGCCCCGATTGCAGAATTGCTTACATCCATACGGCCTCGTACATAACGTCCCAGGTTTGATCTGCGTCACTATCCTTAAGTTTCACAGCTATTTCAACGTTTCGAGCCAGAGTAGCTCCCACAGCACTGTTTTCCTGGTCAGAATAATGTTTTTCTCATAGAAGGTATCCACTCACAATCCACCAATAGCAAATATTGCTGCCAGTCCCAACTTTCGTCCCCGACTTAGCTGTAATCTGTACAGCATGGGCATGGGCAGAACAAGAATAATGATATCCGTGAGTAGATTTAGGGCACCAATTGCAAGGTCAGTCACATAGCCGTCTAGGCAGACAGCCTTTTTGCCGGGGGTTTTGATTCCGAACGCCGCAGCGACGGGATTGCACCAAAAGACCTGCACCAATGTTGATGCGATGAGGTAACAAATCGTGAATACCAGAGTTCCATAAACTGTCCAGCGAAAGGCTTTGCTTGGTCTGAAAATCGACAAATAATACATCAAGATGGATACTTTGGCGCAAAGGATTCCGGGGGGCCACATTATATCCCCAATTCTATGAAGCTATCGTTCCGTTAATTTGGAGCGCCCTTCTTGATCATCTCTGAAGCCTACCAGCCAAGTATTCCGGTTAATTGGGAGACGAAGGTCCCAAACATGATGCGCAATCCCATAATGTTCGATGTCTAAATATTCTGAGCTATTATGCGAATCAACGAAGGATCGAGTGGTACTGACCAACAATGAAGCAGGTGGCTCTGGCAATCGAAAAGGCCTACATGATGTAAGCAGGAAATTCGCATTTGCTCTTGTTGGTAGTCATACCAGCGCAAAAACGATCAGAACTGGAGATACATTAGTATTGTCTGAAGAATGCCTAGTATTACAATGACACTTACCATCATCCCATCCTAGCTTTCTTCCTGCCATAGACACTTTGGTCGTCAGACGAAGTACCACAAAGATGAATGCAACGCATAGTGTTGTAAGAGTTCCTGCCATGTACATTCCGCCATTGCTTTCGGGGTGGTCGAAATTTGGTGTCACTCCTGGTGGAGCCGGTGCTGCAACGAAGCCTTCTCTACCGATGAGGTCAAAAATTGCCATTGTAAGGAACGCACGGGCTCTGCTAGCCCAAAGAAAGTTGTGGAGAAGTGGACTCAATCAGCTTCTTGTAGATGTCTTGGTGGTTCCGGTGCGTGTATTATACAGAGTTCATTAGATCCGATTTCTCATTCTTGATTGCATAAATAAAGACTTCAAAATTCAAATGTAGAGATTCTTCCTCTCAAATCTTTCGCCATGGTTTCAAAAAGGCCCCCTTCAAATGCTGATGGAGGGTGGTAGTTGGACATACAACTTGGGGAATTCGTGAATCCGTAAGATCCAGTCATCTTGAATGTATCTAAGCAGAAAGATACGATATTGATCCATGAAGTCCTCCAATAGTAACACGCGTGAGAAAATAGCTAGTGGCTAAGCCATAAGTTTTAGTAATGGTGGCAACAGTGGGTGGTATCGTGTCTATCCAATGATGAGATAATGACCCTGGAAATCAGCCTGTGTAATCATATGCCTCCTGTTTCCGCTTACAGTAAATGGGATGTCTGGATGGCAGTAATCACTTGAGCTGACAATAGATCATATCTGACTATATTATTAGCCACCTTGTAATATAGTCATGTATATGTTAAGGGATCTACCGTTCAGGCGGTTAAACTTCAACAGCGCAGTACATGCATCTATTTGCTGTTTTAAGTTGAATACATCCGACGGCGCAGTGCATGTATCTAGTAGAAAAATTAACTCATAAATATACATACTAGCTGGAGGAGGTCGAAATACGTACTTCGATAGTCTATGCATTAGTGCTTATGTACTATAGCATCGTTATTAGTATGTCACCCATCCTGGTATATAGTTTATTGCTGAAGAACTACTACTATAGTATAGATGAACCCCGAGGTAAGGAAGGGCACATTTTAAGCGCCAATTTTGTCCGGGGCGGGCTGTTTCCAGGTTTCAACTATGCGAGGCCGGTACCGACAAGGTAGTAATTGTCTCATTGTGATAGGATTCGAATGATTTGGATATAGACGAGGTCAAATGCTGAGGGTTGTGATTGAGTGTTTCATTTTTCCAATCCCTACTCCCACTTCCTGCAATTTTGTAAGGAAGCACGATGCGATTGTTCATATCGACTTTGTTTGAATCTCCGATTTCCTGATTATGCACTTTTGAGAACCTGCATAGGCACATTTCTTAAATCTCTTTTTCCGCTTGGAAAATACTTGAAATTGTGGTCTGAGACGTTCCGGATGTATTTGAAAGCATCAAGAGACAGAGATCTGCACTTCTTCAAGGCTCAATGCTCAACCCCATACCCAACCCCACCCCTACCCCCCTTCATAGGCGAAATCCCGGTATACTAAATCACTTAAATAGAACCATATATTAGAACACGTGTATTTCGATATCTTCTCAAAATATCAATCTTTATGTTATACTATATTTTGAAACCCCTTAAACATACGAAATTTCTCAAGTTTCATTTCAAATAAATGATTGCTCAATTTGATGTCGAATATTGAAAAGAGCGAAACGTTTTTGATCGTCTGGGTTTTTTGTCCTGCCTCCCGTGCATTATCCTAGCCAGCAAAACTTTCAGAAAGGATCTACATGGATCGTCGGATAACAGATTAAAACCTCACATAAGATTTCTCAATTTATCCTTATGCTGGGGTCTCGAAAAAATTTGACTGCTTAGACATCCGATTATTTGATGTCGGCTTGAGAAAGCCTCGTTTAGTTTTCTGGGGTAATTCCTCGAAACTTGTTTCAGTCTTTCAGGAAAGAGTTCTTAGTGGTTATCATTTTCCGATTTTAAATGCGTTCCTATTCATGTTCACCTTCATGATGTAGTCGATGAAATAGGAAGGTAAAGCCGTTAGAACTGCCTCTCCAAGCAGACCCCGACAGATTTGAAGTGGTTAATATTGTCAATCAAGGGTTGTTGTTCGCCATCAAATATACTCTTAATGTAGATGTGTGAGCGAGAAGGCACAAATAAAAATGCTTCATTCTTCTCAAAGTTGAGTTGGACCGAGTTCCAGAAAACACTAAAATGGGTTTCTAAGTATATGAATTTCAGTTCTGAATTGAAGAATTAGGAGCATTCGATTTTAAGAATCAGTTAATCCCCCAAACGTATGCAAACGGCAAGAGAATTTCGGTATGGCCATTGAAAATGAGACACCATCATAGATTCCAGGGGCTATCTCGTTCCTTCATCAAAATATGTGCTGTAGGGTCTGGGAAACAATACTCATGAGCTAACAAATTTCCTGGTCGCGATTTGCCTTCTGGAAATTTGAAATCGTAGTTGAGAATAAGATGAGCAATCAGGATTTTAATGGCATGTGCTGCAAAGAATCTGCCTGGACAGGAGTATTTTCCATGACCAAAATGCATGTTATTTTTATCAGTCATTGCGAATTGATGAAGGTTGCTTTGTCCCGGCTTTTGCCTCTCGTAATAGAAGCGAAAGCCTTGGAAAACACCAGGATCGGGAGTTACAGACTCGAGAGCAATCGGCACGACAGGTACTACCATATGAACACCCTTTGGAAGTATTGTGCCGTCGGAAAGCTGTATGTCTTCCATTGCAGCACGTTTGAAACCAACTAAGCGCGTTAGGAACGTGTCTGTATAAAGCAACCACAAAAAAACTTACTAAGACTTGGACCGTTTAGTCGTTGTGACTCTTTCATGAAACTATCAAGCTTCCTCATTTTTGTGAGCGTCGTCTTCTGCCAACCTCCATCCTCCTTTAGAGCCTGCAAGATCTCTTCTCGAAGCGGTTCGAGGTATTCTGGATGAGCAATAATGTCATACAGAACCTGAGTTGCTGTCATAGAAGTTGTATGAACAGACGCCAACGCCAAAACAAGTAGTCTATGAACCAGCTCTGCCGCCTGACCATCCCGCTCGTTCCACGCCTCATCCATCAACCATTGCAGAAAATCATTTGGTCGTTTGTAATCTGGATCGTTGACTGTTTCCATTCGCCTGCGCTCTTCCACAATGGGTGTGATGAGTCTTTGTGCGTTGTGAAGATTCCGAGAGACGGCCCAAGTAGCTGGCATGAAATATGATGAGATTCGTTTGAGGTAGGGCGGAATGACTCTCATTTGAATTGCAACTCGGAAGACATTCTCCGGGAACATCCTTTGGATTTCCATCCATTCTTTGTTGCGCTCCAAGGAGGCAACTGATATTCGTGCGAAATCATGCACAACCAACCTTACTACGGTATCAAACCCAAGTATGGAAACCCAATTATCTGGCAAACGTTAGTTTCTGATAGCTGCCGAGGTGAAAGTGGTTTATAGAAGCCGGACCTTTGCACGGAGGTATCTCTTGCGTCAATGCCCATTTCATTTCTTCACATATCAAAGGCACAAAGAGGCCAAGCTTAGGGGTAAGTCGCGTATGAATGGCATGAGTGTGAAGGTTACCACGCAGCAAGATATCGATAGTGTTATAATTACCTTGGAAATTCTACATGCAGGTCAGTATGAAGCTTCCAACAGTCGAACGCGGTGTACTATTCAAAGCGAATTTGACATCTCAAATTATTTGAATCATCTTATTGGTTCCCGACAGTGGAAACTTGTGGTTGTAGGACTGCAGTCCGGACTACTAAAAATTCTATGGGTGACTTGCCTCAATATTTGCAACCATGGAGCTGAGTTTTTCTTCCGGGATCGCTCGAAGCTCATTGACGTACTTATTAGGTACAACTAACATATCATTTCCATTTATTTTGAAGAATTGATCTTTGTACTAAGTACTTATCAGAACAATGATTTATGGAGTCATCGATGGAGCAGATGAAGGCTTTACCTGATGATATCCTTCTTGAAGGAGGTTCATTGCATTGTTGAGATACTGAACCCTCGCGGGGTAGGCCCATCTCAGGCCAACAATAGGAGCTTTCACTGCAGCATTGCCATGGGGAAAGAGCACAGCCCTGAGCCACGAACCTAATAGAATGGAACAGATTGCGACTAGAGCCAATAACGGTTTTGTTATTGAAGCCTCTCCATAACCCATGATCTCTATGAGGGACATTTTAATCGAAATTCGTCAACTCTCTGATCGGTTTGTATCTCAGGAATTCCAACAATTCCACTCAGTAGCATATAAACGGATCTTCACCTCTAATGCCCTCCCCCGCACTTTCTACATCTCTTAGCTAGCAATATCTTCGATCCTAAGGTCTCTATCCTTACTATCTCAATCTAGCACTTGCTCCATAGCTTTGCTGCCAATGCACGAATCCTTCGCAATGTGATATAATGAGGCGCAAATAAGACATGTACATATGCACTCATCTCCTGCAGTGACAGTAGTATCTTTATGCGCGACTAACAAGGATACTTCCAGGTTCTCATGAATCAGAATTGTCATGTGTCGGTGTTGTTTGGATATGTACTCCGTTTGCGAAAGTGACTACTCACCTAGCTTAGTGTGTATACCTGGTTCGTATAGAAGTTTGATGGCTTCCTGGGGTCAACAAAGATATACATCAAGTTACTCAATAGAACCAAATGCCGAAAATACCCATATTTCAATACTTATATGATCATATCACTTTGTGTCGTAATTGTTTAATCTGGTAAAAAATATTGAAAATACAATGGGCACAGTAGAGACAGTGCGGAATTCGGTAAATGGTCTTAGTAATACATAGGTACATGTACCGAGATACATACGGTATAACGTCATCATAGTGTCATCACGGAGTATTTCGCAAGATCCGATTGGCTAAAAAGAAATACATGAATCTTACAACCGAAAGTCTCCTTGCTAGTGCTCACCTTGTACAGTAAGACATGATCATTTTAAGTACAGCAAGTTAAATTTCTAGTGGGTTACAGCCGTGGATATAAACGAACTTGCGAGCGATCAAGGGATACATCAACCCAAAATTACCCCATGTCGTGTTCTACAAATTCTGTTGGACCGCGACCCCAACACTTTCCAACATGCTTCCAAGTTGGTGCTACCTACTAGAAATGGAATAGATAGAAAGAGGCGGTGTCTATAGAAACAAAAAGCCCAAAATGACTGCGGCCACACCTCAAGTGAGTTGCCAGTACTTTCACTGACTTCTCTTACCCTGTACAATCACCAGTCTAGAGATCATGGAATCCAATCCAACTGGCGCGCCGAGAGCTTCTAGTGCCGTCAAAGATAACGGTCAATCGGTTATGATGACAGCCGACGAAGAAAAAGCAGCAGCAACAGTGCCTACGGGAGATGAAAAACAGGACCACGATGCAAAACTCGAGACCGGGTCAAGTCAGCCTGTGAAATTGCCAGAAAGAAAAAGAACCATACATGGCATCAAAGTATTGTCAAGCCATTTCCTTCAAACTGGCCCCATGGTCATGCCTAAACAATAGTGCGGGGACTGATGAGAGTATACCTTTTAGTGGGTCCTTTTAGTTGTCGCCATTCTCTCGAATCTTTGCTTCTATGCCATCGATAATACAATAGTAGCTGTGATTCAACCCGTATGTCCTGCAAGAGCGAACAGGTACCGTGTGTCAAACTTACACCATATTGTGTAGGTCGTCGTCAAAGATCTCGGTGAAGTCCAAAATTTACCATGGATTTCCGTCGGGTAATATGAGTCCTTTGCAACCTCCAAAGATGGGCTATCTGACATTTTTTTGAGTTTCTTGATGGCTGGAACAGCCACGGCATTAGTTAATGGGAAGCTCTTTGCGTCCTTCAACGCCAAGATCTTGTACATAGCGGTTTGCACCTTGATGATGACGCTCTTCCACTATAAAATTCTGACACTGAAAGTTCTCGTTACTTTTCGTCGTCGGCTCCATCATATGTGGTGCAGCTCCAAATATGACAGCACTGATTTTTGGTCGTGTGATAGGAGGAGTTGGTGTATGTAACACATCATTCTCCTACTAGCCATCACTGACCACGTCAAAAGGGCACTGGAATGTATCTTGGGGCTCTCACGTTGATATCGGTCAACACTAGTCCCAAGGAAACAACAGAATATATGGGATATCTGTAGGTGCTTCTAGAGATGCTTTTGGTTTCAGCTAACGATTCGCGAAGTGCTTTGGTCTGGGGATTCGGATCTGTTATTGGACCTCTTATTGGAGGTGCCTTTACGGATAGTTCTGCAACTTGGAGATGGGTAGGTTTCGTTGATTAGACTTTTTGCTAGGCTCACATTTTCTAGGGATTCTATATCAATGCACCCGTGATTTGCATTTTTATTCCAGTGTATCTCTTCATAATACCATCGTACACTCCTCGTCCAACAGAATCTTTTCTTTCCAAAATTCAAACCATAGATTGGGTGGGCAGCGTATTGAGCTGCGGTGCTTTCGTTGCTGGTATCATAGCTATCAATTTTGGAGGCACACTATATCCTTGGCACAGCTGGCAAATTATTGTTTTGTTTGTAGTTTCTGGAGCATTGTTCATCGCCCTCTTCCTGCAGCAGCACTTCAACTTCTTGACTACTCAGGCACTTCGTGTGCTACCGATACATCTTCTCAAGACAAAGGATATGATCATATGCTTCGTGTGTCAAGGTAAAGATATTTTAGATACATTCGAGACAATCGCTTACACCTCGCAGTTGCCGTTGCACTTATAGTACCTGTTCCGTTATACTATATCCCGGTTTTCTTCCAATTAGCTAAGGTATGTTGCAAACCCTCACCTCTAATCTTGTATCTTTCCACTAATGTTAGTACTCGCAAAGGGAGATTCTGCTCTCCGAGCCGGAGTCAAAACACTTCCTTTGATATGCTTCTGGGTGACCTCGAGTGCCATTCGTGGACGTCTTATGGGGAAGCTAGGATGGTATCAGCCCTGGTATATCGCCGGAAGTATTTTGAACATTCTCGCTGGTGTCTTTCTGAGTATGATTTGTTCTAATTTCTTCTCTTGATATACAGATGGAAGTAATATTGACTTGTATGTTAGGTCGTATCAACATCACCACATCAGATGCTGTCATATACGGACTTCAGGTCCTATCTGGAGTAGGGACGGGCTGCTATGGCCAAGCAGGTTTTGCAGTAGCACAACGATTAGTGCCCCCAGCCGATGTTCATCGCGCAATATCTCTCATGCTGATTGGTACGAAAATTCCCTCATTGCTGACCAATTGTGCTGATCACCCTTCCAATATAGCACAACTCACTGGAACCACACTCGGTCTTGCAATTGCTGGAGCCATGTTTCAGAATGTTTCACTACCTCGAGTGCGGCAAATAGTGCCATCCTTCTCAGCTTCGCAATTGAGTAATCTAATCACACAAATTGGCGGTGGTCTTGATGATCAGCTGAATGAAGTGCAGACTAAGGAGGTTCTGGCCATCATTGTTGATGCTCTGACAGATACGTGAGTGTAAACTTCTTTGTGTTTGATCAAATTCGAAGCTAAAACCATTTAGATATATCCTCATTTACGCAGCAGCAGCTCTGTCCCTAGTACTCTCAATATTCTTCACCGTATGTTTGCTTTATCTCCATCGGATGTTTCCCACATATCTATAGGCTGTCCTTTTGCTAATGACTACGCTGTAGCCTAAGAAGCTTTGGTAGATTGAAGAAGTGTACATGGTAATTGTTAGGCCATTATTCACGTCTTCTTAATGAATGTCGAGGCGTGCTAGCTTACCAGGATACAGTTCAGGTAAAAGGATATTGAGAGAAAACCATCATATGCTCAGCGACCCCCTTCAAAAGTAACATTTTTTTTGATATTGCGCGGCGTTCAAAATTATAAAGGCCCATTTCTTCCAATTGATTTCCTCGACATTCGCTTTGTGCTTTCATCCACCATTTCATTTGTGATGGCCATAGAGCAATATAATTACATGCCTTTCAATTTTTCCTTCTCAAAAGAATTTGCTGACTCAAACTGACTTGGTTCTTTTCGCCTTTGACTACATTCTGTGGGCGTTCCGTTTGCCCCTCCGGATAGCTAATCTCAAACTCGTTTAAGAGAACCATCAGCAATAATTTAATTTGAGCACTAGCCCAGAAACGACCTGGGCAAGCAAACTTTCCTACGCCCCAAGACGGATTCTCTGAGCTCAAAGAAGAGAATTGGTATCGCTCCTCTTGGCCTGGTTCTTGCCGTTGTGTGTAAAATCTTAAAGGGTCAAACGTGTTTGGAGAGGGGTATATCTCGGGGTCCTTGTTGATGAGGTAATGGGTCATCGAGATATATGTGTTTTTGGGCAGAGTCACTCCATTTGAGAGAGTTACAGGTACTGCAAGTTGACGATTGAAAGTCACTGGACAAGAAACATATGTTAGACATTGCGACTTGTATAGTTGTGTTGGTGGTCATACTTAAGCCAAGAGTATTTACGCGATGTGATTCCTTTATGAAGCTATCCATCTTCTTAAGAGATGATAGCGTCCGAATAGTGACATCGGCTTCTTCAGCTTCTTCGGTTACGATTGTCAATTCCTCCTTCAAAGTTTTGAGGTCCTCCGGTCTAGCACATAGATCTAGTATGGCGTTTGTCGCGACCTCTGCCGTTGTATGTATGGCAGCTGCGTTGAGAAAAAGCATCCGTGTTACTAGTTTGTCTATCTCTGCATCAGGTCCACGAGCAGAGTCGATTAGCCATTGTACCATATCCGGATGCTCTTTTGAGGTGGTTGACCTGCGCTCCTGTATGAGTGGAAATAGAAGCTTGCGGGCCACAGAAAACCGATTGCGGATCTGTTTATAGGATTTAAGGAAAGGAGCAATGATAGGGTGGAGAAGTCTATAGTGCTTCTTGAGATCGGTAGCTACATTTCCGGAGCTATAAATGACATGAATTAGTAGGCAAGCGAGACAGACGATGTTCAACTCACTCTATAGTATAGCCGGTTGCGGTAGCCAACCATTCTGGATCTCTACATAGCTCTGGTCCAACAAAAGCACGAGCACTGGCGCTGGTAATAAGTTCAATGGCGAGACGAAACAGCGGAAAGCTATAATTGCCTGGAAATATGTCAATCAAGCTGACCACTAGATATGTTATATATGAAAAATGAAGTCTACTCACCATCTTTTCTCTCAGTCTTCTCGAGTTTCGAGTTTATTGTAAATAGTATCTCATCGTATGTAGGCTGAGCAAGACGACCTTTCAATTGTAAGCGAGCTATACATACCTAGCTCAATGAGATCTATCATCCAATACCTATATTTTGAGATAGTTGCCCTGCACAAACAAGGAATTGCAGGTCACTTTCCTCCGCAATGTCGAAGCCAGTATACGGACCAGCGTGTCGAACCGATGCAGTAAGACGCACTTGTTTTCTTGGAAGAACACTGAAATCTTTCATGAACTTTCGAGAAACAATGACTCGATCCATATCTGTCGTCCATAATGAATACACAGAGTCTTTGTACTATTCACGTGTCAGAAACATGGATGGAAATAATACTCAAAGGATCAGCCGATACCTTTGAATAACCCTCTTCAATGAGCTCCAAGCTATGTTTGAAGAAATGGCTATCGGATGTGTTGCCCAAGAGTCCTGGTTTCTTGCCGATGCGAGGTATCTGACCCTGTTGCTTTGTGGGTCGAATGACGAGTAAATACAATGAAGTAAAGGTCGTGACCAAGGTGGCCACTAAAATCATCGACAGCATCTTTTGTCTTCCTTATCAATGAAGGATTCAAGCCATCTCACAAAACAACAGAATTAGAAGTAGAAAGCTTGAGGTGCCAGGTGCCGGAGTGTTGGTGTACCGAAAGGTTACATTGAGATTCAGGGGTGTCCATATCGATCGATACTATATGCACACCATGGGACCCGTGCCGAAAGCCCGCACTACCCCCTGAAATTAACAATTGGACTTTCCTCATTCTCACTCATCAGTTTGCTTAGTAAATCTGTGCCTCCGGCAGAAATGAAGGACATATAGGTACCTACCTATGCAGTGAGAGTCACGTCACATTATGTTATATGCCGCAAAGCTCTCGTCTTACTTACATTTTTTCGCATTTCACCCGAATCTTCATCCACTCCACCTGTCGCCTGTCGTTCTCCATTGCAATCATGCGAGAGTGATAGGAGAGCTTGCCACGAAAGGAATGGGCATGAAAGAAAGCAACAAGCAGTATCATACCCATAGCCTTGCAAACCTTACCCTGCAAGTTGCCACCGTCGAGGATTAATTGCCCCGCTCCGGCCTTCTGGGGTTTGCAATCAACATGCCTCGATTGTGCAAAAACGCTCTTGGCTATTTTCAAGGAGCTTTTGCCACTTATGGTGTCTATTTCCCATGAGATCGGAAATCATCGCTGGTCTAAACTTATCAGCTTGCATTTGTAACGGATAAGCCGACCGTAGTCTCAAGCCAAAGATGATTGTCAGCAGGTCACCAGTGTACATGCAATTGGACTTGATATAGAGGACATCTGGGTGTGCCCTTTCCGGTATGCATTACTTTACCTTGCTTCAATTAGATTCCTGCATACTTTGTGTACCTTATTTCTCCCGTTACAAACAGTAAAAATGGATCACTTCGATGTATTAGAAGCCAAGTTTCTAGTCGGCAGTCTAGCCAATGAGTCTTTCCGAGCAGGTGGCTCTGGATCGATGTCTACATCTATCTATGACACGGCATGGGTATCTATGGTATCGAAGGATGTTGACGGGGTTAGACATTGGCTCTTTCCAGAAGCCTTCCAGCACATAGTCGATGCCCAGTCCAAAGATGGCTCCTGGGAATCTTATTCGTCGCAGGTGGATGGAATCTTGAATACAATGGCGGCTCTGTTGGCCTTTGTATCTCATCAAAGTGCTAACAATTCCTCCTACTTCATTTTGCCCCCTGACATTGATGCACGAATACTCAAAGCACAAGGTAGTCTTAGACATCAATTGCAGGCGTGGGATGTCAGATCTTGTGTTCATGTTGGATTTGAGATTCTTGTCCCTGCGCTTTTAGGAATGCTAGAGCAACACAATGTCGTCTGTGAATTTCCTGGTAAAACGCATCTACTCCAACTGAACCAGGAGAAGCTCTCGAGATTCCAGCCAGAAATACTCTATCAGAATATACAAGTGACTGCCCTACATTCCTTGGAAGCATTCATTGGCACAATAGATTTCAATCGAATCAAGCACCACTTAAAGAATGGAAGTATTATGGCCTCTCCGTCTTCAGCAGCGGCATATCTGATGAATACTTCAATCTGGGATAACGAATCAGAAATATATCTCAGAAACACCATCATTGAAGGTGCTGGAAAAGGCAACGGAAGTGTACCTTGTGCGTTCCCGACGACGTTTTTCGAGTTCACATGGGTACGATACATCTGTTATTTAATCTAAACTTGTACTAATCAAGTTGATGATTTATCTAGGTTGTCTCTACGCTTCTGAAAGCAGGTTATACCCCAGAAGAATTAGGAGAGTATAATCTTAGCATATTGGTGGACCATCTCCAGCAAGAATTAAGCCACAGACATGGGGTCATTGGTTTTGGTAGGTCGGAATCGCCCGGAAACAGTCCTTTATAATAACTCTGATAGCTCCTTCATTACTTCCCGATGCTGATGACACTGCGAAATGTATTCTTACGCTGTGCCTGGTCGGAAGATCAGTTTCGGTAGAGCAAATGATAGCAAACTTTGAAGTCAAAAATCATTTTCAGACATACGCGCTTGAGAGGAATGGAAGCATCAGTGCAAATTGTAATGTACTCAATGCTTTGTTGCATATTAACGAGCCCAACAAATATGTCGGGCAGATCCTCAGCACAACTGAGTTTTTGTGCAATTCATGGTCGGCTGGAAAGATCGATGACAAATGGGGTGAGCATATTTGTTAGCTTGCTGTGATCGATAAACTTTGTCAGTATGCTAACAGAATGGATAAGAATCTCTCCCGGCAGTATTCGATGATGGTCTTAGCTCAGACATTCAGAAAGCTTGTGATGGTTTGGGACAGCGGAGCGTTACCCGACTTTCCAGAAGAACAATTGAAAGACAAGATTCCTGTAATTCTATTACAGATTCTACATCGCACATTGCATACTCAAAATAGCAATGGTTCTTGGGGTACTTCAGGCTCGTGCGAGATAACTGCTTATGGCATCCTAACTTTGATTGATGCGACTTTCTTTCCCTGGGCCGGAGAGCTTGACAAGCACGTGCTTAGAGCCATTCGTACAGGTCGAACTTATTTGAATCGGAACCGAGATAGTTGGGATAAAGTTACTTATACCTGGGTTGAAAAAGTCAGTTACGGATCAAGCATTTTGTCCAAAACATATTGTATAGCAGCGACCCATGCAGCGAAGAAAGTACCCTACGAAACTCAGCACAATGGAACCACTTCCAAACATCCTCGGTATTCCCTTTGATAGAGTTGCGAGGTTCGCCAAGTTTTTTTCTGCAATTCCTCTCTTCGCGAGTGAGAGCTCATGGAAGCTTACTGCCTCTATTATGGAAGGATATCTCTTTCTTCCACGGCTACGTCGAATTCGCTTGGATATCTTCCCCCGCCAGAACATGGCAGAGGATAAATATCTAGAGTACATTCCTTTCACGTGGACTGGTTGTAATAATAAAGGGATATTCCTTGAGACCGACCTAATTTGGGATATGATGGTCATCTCAATGTTAAATTATCAGGCAGACGAATTCATGGAAGCTGTGCTTGGACACAACGGCTCTGCGGAGCACTTAATCCGAGGCCTGTTTTCCAAGACAACTCTTCGAAGTGATCCTCTATCGAGTCAGGAGAGTTCTTCGTTGAATCGTAGCGTCATCACACCAGTGAACTCCGATGATGGTTTGCCAGATGACTCCACAAATGATGACAGAGACACTCTCATCCGCTTCAAAGACCACGTTCTAAACCATCCTTCCATCTACAAAGCTTCAGAATCATCTTTAGCTCATCTGAGCAAACAATTGGAAGCTTTCCTGCTCGCCCATCTCACTCATTCAACCGACAATTCTTGGTTCGCGCAACTTTCAGGACACGATGCCGATGCCCCCGTCACATTCCCAGCATCAAGAACCTATTGGGATTGGGTACGCAATATCTCGGCCGTCCACACATCATGTCCCTATTCATGGGACTGGATATCGTGTCGAATGACATCGGAACGAGGAGACGAAACCGTTCCCCCACCGCGCTCACAAAGTATCTTTCCGCGGAGCTGGGCCAGCATCTCGCAGTCATGTTGTCGCAATGTACAACGATTATGGCTCGTTAGCACGCGACAAGGCGGAAAAGAACCTTAATAGCGTGAATTTCCCAGAGTTTGAAAAGTGCGCCGGAACTTCAACGTCTTCTGATGCAACGGAAAAGCAGACTACGGCGGAACTGCAAGAGAGGAAAAGCGCATTGATGGAAATGGCAGAATATGAGCGTGAATGTCTCCTTATCGTCAAAGCGAGATTGAGACCTTTGGTTGATGAGAAGGTAAGAGGCGTGCTGGATGTCTTTGTCAATGTGACGGATTTGTATGGGCAGATCTATGTTGCGAGAGATATTGCTAGTAGGATGTCGTAGACATTTGTCTCTTCTAAACTTTGGATGGCTGATTTATTTCTGTAATATATTCTCCGGTTAGTTGTGTACTATGTTGCTCTCGTTAGTAAATCACTCGTTGTCGCTCAGATATATGTTATACTTTTCCTCTCGCAAGTAGCGTCCTGATATAAAAATCAAGAAAATTGAAACAAAAAACAAGAATTAAAGCTAGGCCTATCACTACCTAGGTATGTTGACATGGAAATCCCCCTCACACTCTCTCACCAGGGTTCTCTCAAACTCAAACATACATTCTCACAATCTATTCTATAACTAGAGTCCAATCAGGAAGATATAAATAATATCACGATTACTTAGGTGTAAGAGAGTTTTTATATATCTATATACAACGGATATCTGCAATCCCATCCCATCCCATCCCATCCCATCCCATCCCCTCACCCTCACCCTCACCCCTCCTCCTACCTCTCCCTCTCTCCCTCTCTCCCCTCCCTCCGACCAAAAACTCTCCCAAACTCCCCAATTCCGAAAACACAACAACCCCCCTCCCCTCTCCTCTCTCGCCTCGCCTCGTCTCCCGACTTTCCCCCGATGATCACCCCCACCCATCCACAGTAAACTTCCATACGCCCCACCCACCTCTTACCGTTACACATATATCAATTACATCAACACATAATCACATACATCACACATACATACATCACAAACCTTCCTAGGTACATATATATCCATATCCATATCCATATCCATTCCATTTACCTAATACACTAGGTACACAATACACAATACACAATACACAAACCCAATATATCACAAACATCATAAATATACAAGAAACATATCTATCTACCTACCTACCTAGATATTCAATTCCGCTCACTCCCAGCTTCTAGAGTTTTTTAATCCTCATCTCATCCTCACCCTCCTCCTCCGCCTCCAATTATAAATTATAAATGACAAATGACAAAGAAATAAATACGAATTTCCCATCCTCCCTCCTCCCTCTGAATTTTTTGAAAAAAATTAATTCTAACGAGTTATCTAAATAAATAATAAAATCAATCAATCAATCAATCAAATAAATAAATAAACAAATAAATAAACAACTTACATCCCGCGATAAATAAGATTATATATAGTACCTAGGTACTTAAATCGAATCGAATCGAATTAAATCAATTCAATTCAACTCAATTCATCAAAGACGATTAATTATGATTATTACTCTAGTTTTCCATTTTTCATTTTGTTTCTCTCTCTTCAAAATCGCAAATATTTACGATACGATACAATACGATACGATATGTATTACACTATCTAATACCTTCGCTCACCAGCTCCCCTCCCTCCTCAGACTCCCCCCTCAGGCAACACTAGCAACACTAGCAACACCCGCCAAAAAGTCAAGTCAAATCAAGTCATCCAAATAACCTTCGATAATATAATACAATACAATACAATACAACCTCAATATTAAAAAAAGGTAAAAGAGATCAGATCAGATCGGATCAGATGAGAATAGAATCGAATCGAATGCATCAAAAGACCCTGAATCACCACCATTCATCCATAAGCCCTTCTATCTCTATTCAAAACAAGTTCAAATCTTCAATTCACTATATCACAAACACACATACATTTACCACACCCCTCTCATCTATACGCCCCCCTTGCATCATTTCCTCACACAACCCCGCGTATCCATTCATTCTCAAACATACTCTTCACCCCTCTTTACTATCATCATTATCATCATCATCATAATCATCATAATCCTCACCATCACAAAAACCAAAAACAAGAAAAAAAATAACACGAAAATAAAACTCGCTAACTAAAATGTATATTCTAAAAAAAATCCATTATCCATCCAAAACCCTGCCTTGGCCCAGTCATCCATCATCACATCAAAATAAGGGGTATATGAAAGTTTTTTTTAAAAAAAAAAGACCATGTCCAACATGATAAGCAGTCATCCAGAAGATATACCCCCCTCGTCTCCCTCGTCTCACCCCTCTCACCCCCTCTCACCTCATCAGCCATCTACCCTATGTAACCCCAACCCACCAATTGTACAATTACAACTTCCTCTCGCCCCTTCCATTTCTCATCATGAATAGTATTTTTTTGTGTATTCGAATCTCGAAAGTTTCCATGTATATATGTGCTCCTCCTTTTCTCTCTTTTATTCTTCCTTCCTGAAACGAAATATAAGGAAATGGGAATGTAGTTGACCATTAAAGTCCAGAAATAAGCAATAAATAAATAGATGAATGAGACAAAAAGCGATCCAGCCGCTTTTATCCGGTATTAGTTTGTGAACTTCTTGCTTTCGGATTTTCAAATAGGAAATGTTGTATGCTGGGTATGTGTAAATGTGTGTGGTGCAACAAATGAAAATATAATGCGAAATCTGAGTCGCGTCGGTAATCTAGTCGGCTGTGCTGGCTGAGGGAGTATTGTGTATGCAATGTCTGTGCTTATAGGTAGGTGAGATGCAAAAGAAACTTGACAAAAATTGGTCCGCGTGAAGTTAATATTCTGAATCTTCGGGTAGATTTTCAGGTTCTGGAGATTGTAATTCGGAATCATCGGGATGCATCTAAGTTGTGAGAAAACATGGTTAGCCTTTTGTGTGTTTGTGTTATGGAAGCTGAAAAGAAAAGGAATATTAGGTTGTGACAAGCGCATTGATGATGCCACCCAACTTAGGTGACCAATGACTTTTGCTTTTGACATTGCTTTTGGGCAGGGTTTCAAGTAGTCTGGATTGCAGTCCAACAATTAGACTTTCTCAATGTTTAAAAGCAATACGATGTTCAAAATAGATCTGGCATCTCAGACTATTGGAATAGTTTATTTGGATTTAGGCATTGAAAGCCTCCGATTGTTGGACTGCAGTCTGGACTATTGGGCATCTTGATTTTAGGAAACTCACCAGTTCAGTCCATTTATCTTTGCAAGCCGTAGATGTAAACCCGGTCCCAACTTTCTGTGCCACAATGCGCCATTTTTCTTGTTCGTAATCATGGACCGCCGTTCGAAGTTTTGAACCTAAAAGTTTAATCAATTATTGGATTCTCAAAAGACAAGCTTCAAATATCTTACCGTCTCGTCAGTCCATTGAGTTGTCTTAGCCTTCAATTTTGTGCAGTAGCGGACCTGTAATGTCCCTGAAGAGCGCCCTGGGAAAAACTCCGCAATTTGCTTCCAAGTCAAAGCCTTATTCTCTTTCAAATCTACTAGTAACTGATCATCCTCGGGGGTGAACTTTAACTTTGGACCTCGCGGTCTTTCTGCAGGCATCGGCATTCCGGCAGTGCCAACTACACTAGGTGCACCTTGCGACATCATACTTGAATCCGGACCTTCGCCAAGACGAGGAATCTTTGTACCTCGAGGTCCTTGATTAGGCAATGCATGACTGTGAAAAGCCTGAGGGCCACCACCATAACCACCCATCGTTTGTTGAGCCATTTGTGAAGACATGCCTTGCATCTGCCCATGCATTTGGCCTTCTGACACCCTTCCCATCCCAATTTCCAAGTCGTCATGAGTTCTTGGCCTTTTTCCTACACTAGATGGTTGTTGTATTTGCGCACCCATATACCCGATGTGTTGCCCACCTCCATATTGAGGAGACTGATGGTGGGCCATGCCGTGTGAATCTAGCAATACTTGGTGGTGGTGGTGATGTTGTTGCTGTTGCTGTTGATGATGCCCTCCCAGTTGAAGGGATTCGAGACTTTGCGCACCAACTTGCTGGAGCTCTGGGTGATGCGACCCGTAAACGCGCTCTGGATGTTCTTCGGATTGAGCAGCATAATCGATATAAGGATCGTGCCCTGGATTGTGGCGTGAATAGCCAGACATACATGGATTCCTCCACAGCGAACTGCTCTCGCAGGTCGCTGGGGGTAATTCTAAAAGGTGTTGAAGTATTGCCGCAGCGCGTTATGTTTCCAGAACGCTTGTTGTGGTTTTGTTGACCGTTGTTTACAAAGCAGATGCGACTGTGTGCGTTTCGAAAACTTATCTATATAATGCCGTTATATAGGTGAGAGCCGAATAATGCATACCTTGGTAATATGCGATTTACCAACGACCAAAATGTTTCCAAACTTTCTCGGCAACTTGTTGTATGAATGAACCACTGTAGATTAGAGCCGTTGATGAAATGGTAAAAAGAAGGAGAAATGTTAAAGAGAGAGGGGGTGCATCTGCATTTATCTATCGTCCTCGATCTTTTAAGTAAAGCTTGCATAGACATCAATGGCGTAGGGCAGTAGCAGTAATTAAAATTGACCAAAGCGTTCCAGCGATTCGCATCGACGCGACAGCTTCGTGTTGCGCAATGCAAATGATGCATGTTGGCAGAACTTTAGCAACGTTCTCTGCCGGGGAGATGGGAATTCGATTATGCCTGGCGTCCCAATTAGGGTTCCAAGGTGAGAAGATCCCGAGCGAATGCTTGTAACGCTCAAAGCATGGTTATCCAAAGAAGGCTTGACAATGTTGACATACAAGGAAGGGGTTGATGAGTAGACCCGCCAAGAAGATTTGGTATCGAAAGTTAGGCAGAGTGGAGGTGGACAGCCATGGGAAGAATGTTGGGTTCTCACTGCTCAGGGCATTAGAGCTCTGGAAGAAGTATAGAAGCTTTTGAAACAAGAAATGGATTTGGCTGAGAAGAAGAAACCGGCAACAGGGATTTAGCCCACTTCACCCAACCATCTTAACTCCTGGATGAACTTTACTTCCGAGCCAACTTAAAAAAAACCCCTCGTCCCTATTGAAGTGTGGAGAAGTAAGGCCATGTTCCACGGCGGTGCGACCTCTTTCTGGGTTTGAAGCATGAATAATAACAAAATTTGTTTTAATGCTCAGGGATTATGGGATTAAAAATAGTATCGAGGCAGGATGTGATAGGATCATGACGATTGAAGAACGGAGATGAATTAAATGGCAAAATAATGCGTTGATTTGTCAAATTGGCTTCTTAACCTTACTCGAGGAGACATGCAAGAATAGTCAGGCTCAATAGGACTTTTGGGCCGAATGGTGTGGGAGGGGCGCATAGGGACTGATCAATAACCCTTGAGTAGGTAGGCAACGAAGATACCTATCTAGGTAGCTAACACACGCTGGCTCGAGAGTGGTTCCCAATTCTCAATTCCCAATTGTAGATTCCCGTCGATGCTTGAAGGTCCCATTTAACCATTTAGCCATTTAACCTCCACGCTATTCCTCTCCCATCCATATAAAATTCAAGGGTTATAAATATAAAATCTCCGAGAGTAACTGCTGGGAATTCCCCTTTTTCCCACCCCTTGTACGCACTTACTTAAGTCGTGGGAGTTTTTCTAATTGATCCATTCATCGGATGATTCCCATTGAAAAGCAATAAGAGACTGAAATGACGCGCGAGATGAGGGCATATGGGTAGCAGCTAACGGAGATTTGAAGTCGTAAAGACTACCATTTCAGCAAATAGGATAATAAATTGATTCTTGGATTGGAATGACGGATGAGCCGGCTTGGGCTGGCTGGCCTTATCGACAGTGACCCTGTTCCTCAACCTTAACCCCAGTGAAGAAGGCTGAAGAACAATGTCAGAAGGTTCTTCAAAGACCCCAATGATGATCCAGATCCACCTTGCAGATTTCTATACTTAACTTCTTCGTATTTGAGGCTTTGTATGTAAAGTACCTACCTAGGCAGTGTAGGTGTTTTCTTTTGGTTTGGTCTGTCTGCCGGTAGTGACATTCAATGTGTAATAGAAGAAAGAGATCATAGCCATGTCCCCGTCCCCTAGATGCCGAAGGAAAAAAGACTCGATTGTGTATTTGTCCAAGGGGGCATTCAAATCGAGCCATGAATGGAGACATGAAAGCCCTGCTTAGCTTTCAAAATGGTGACATTGATGGAGTTATTCGCGACATTGCCCGTTCATGCTTTTTTGTTTGTCGCACCTACACTTTTTTTTTTGCTTTCTTTCTTAAGGCATTGATGTTGACAACCAGGGTCTGTAACCCATCCCAAAAGCAATATAATTCAAATGACATGATTTCGACTTCTTTGCTCAAAACCCTAGGTAAGCATAAATGATCGGAGCAAGGGGAAAAGACTAATATGGACCAAGCTGAGTACTGGTTTTCTCGAAGAGGGAATATGTAATTGAAGAGCTGTACGGATTTCCATGGTGACAAGGTTTCCTGTGTCGATTGTTGCTTCTCCTGACACCATTTGCCCGTATGCTTCCAGTATAGTCGCAGTACGTGGGCATGCTATACCGATTGATCAATTGAAGGTATGGATCTATTGGATCAAAGGGAACGAAACAAAAGGGGAATGTATGCCGACTGGATATATTGATAACGGAATTACACGTCGATGGAAAGAGAAAGAAGAAGAAGAGGAGAAGAGAGATGAAGAATTATTGAATGAATGAATGAATGGAGGAAGAGAAGTTTAATTCTGATTTCAATAAAATACTCGACTTATTATTGCCTAGGTACCGGTATTGATTTACACTTTCGGAGAAAAGCGAAGGAGCCACTCTTGACTCTTATGTCTATACTGAGTATACGTACCTAGGTGCCTACATATATTGATTCAAATTGTATCGAATCATTTGAATCATTTGAATCATTTCCATGTCCTTCAAACCTAATCTCTGTATCTCCTTCTCCTTTCACAATCTTCCTGTTTGTCCATTGTACAGATCTAGAGTGGCCAGCATGTCATGAACAGTATGTATGTGCTGGGTAGGTGTCTAGGCGTGCTAGGCTCAGGTACTGACTGGTAGGTAGGCTGGTAGGCATATATCTCACGGTACTTGATTGAATCCAGTCCAGTGAACCGACGAGTATCCAAGGTTAGTACTGTAGTATCGTAACCTTGCTTGACACTGCCCGAAAAAAGAAAACATACCAGTAGGTACCGATAAAAACGTTGGAATGGCAATTAATTGGCGTGCATACGGCAGATGCAAAATGCACACTGTGTACTGCAAGGTCAGATACGACCATCACTCATCACTGGCTGGCGTAATTGTACAGATTTTCCTGCAGGTCCCGCCCAAGGAAAAAAGTGACAATGTCACAATGGTCGGTCGGCTCAAGCCTTACGTTCCTAATCCAGCGAAAGACCCCCGAACCAAGATTTGGGTGGATCGACACATTGTGATAGGTAAGCCCTTACTCATCTACCTATTGGTATGATCTTTCCACATTCGAATCTGGCCATGCATCCATTTCAAGTTTTGCATTTGGCTCGTTTGATGCTCCGTTCTACAAATACCCACTTCACTGGCAGTGAATGCATTGATGATGTAGCGGTGATTCGTACCCACTGTCGATCATACATGTGATATGTAAGGCGCAGCAGCTAGGAGGCGAGCATCGAACGAGAGCGTTGTGTAACCGTAGACTAGACTACAGTTTCTAGAGATGGCGGTATGGAAGTGAACAGGCTGTAGACACTAGATGGGCGAGATGGCAGAGGGTACACACAAAGAGTGAAGGGTGGGTTTCGTATTTGTGACGCATACATGGAACAAGAAAGACATGGAGTCCAGCTGTATCATCCGAGTTGCAAGCTAAAAGGCCGTGTGGTTCAATTGCCTACTAGGTACTCAGATGAAGATGGGATGAATCTTGAGATTATTTGGAATTCCATGACAATCTGAATGTTGAAAACAATTTGAACATTTAAAGCAATTTGAGCATTGAATACAATTTGAACAATTCAAGCAATTTAAATAATCAAAATAGTTCAAACGAACGTTGAAAACAATCTGAACATTGATATTAATTCGAACACTAAAGACGATCCAAGCAATCAAAAAAATTCGAACATTGGGAACAATTTGAATACAAAGCATATTATACATCCAAGACATTTTGAGCAATCAAAGCAATTTAAGCATTCAAAGTAATTCGAATCTTGAGAACAATTTAATTACTCAAAGCGAATTGACTCTATATCCAAAGAATTTTGAACAATCAAAATAATTCCCACATTCATCAAAGCATTTCGAGTATTGAAAGCAATTTGAACATTCAAAATGATTTGAGCACTCGAAGAAAAATGAAACAATAGGATGCCACATCTGAAACATTCATAGAGGGTTTGAAAGTTCAAAATTAACACATCATCGTGGCATGATCAAATTCATTTCATTTTGCTACCATATTATTCATCTACAAAAAAATACATTGTTACAATGCGTGTTCGCATCAAACGCCCATTGCCCAGCCCAATTTGATACAGATGCACGCTGATTAATTCATCCTTCCAGTTCCAATCTTCCTTCCCATATTGTTCTGCTTCTCCTTTTTCAACCCCCTCCCCTATATCATTAATCTAAGCAAGCTTGTCCTCATTGTCAACCCAAATATCCTCCAATTCAGCAAAGTTCTGGAAATGCAAAGGTCTGTGTAGGTCGTTGTAGAAAGGCGTAGGTGTATCGATCTTCACGTGTATTGGCTTCTTCTCCAAGCTTCCAAAGGCACTTCCCATAAAACTGTAGTTCCATGAGTTGGTCTCGGGTACCAAGAAGTATCCGCGGATCTTGTCACTAAGCAGAAGTTGACATTTCTCTCCCATGTTCGTGCTGAACCCTTGTGGTTGGTCGCTACCGAGATCTTTATTCTCCGCACCCCATTTATAACCATGGGGCGTGAGCGCCCATGATGCTAGTGAGACACTTCCGGGAGTGAATGAAACAGTCATAGTAACCGTCTTTTTGTCCCATGATTTATGCGCATTCATGAGACGTGCATGTTGGGTGACATCCATGGCTGTCATATATGGTGGTTCGTTACCAGAAACGGTGTGAATAATTCCGAGAGGTTCCATTTGGTCTAGATACTCGTGTTGTGGTAACTGCTGAGGCAATTGTACATCACGCGTACTACCAATTTGAGGTACCATTACGATACAGCGGATTTCCTTTACTTGATCATTATCTGGGGGAGATGAACCATACAGATATCCAGCCACTTGAACTCGCAAATCCGCAATTGTGATAAAGCGCTTCAAGATGTTCTTTGGCATGATATAAGTGTAGTGATCATCCTCTTTGACGTCATCCGAAGAGATATAGATGTTGTTAGATCGTGTCCTCAAGTTCGAAGTTGCAATCGCTCTAGTTCTCCATTCAGTCTTCGATGCAAAGGTTTGTTGTTCGAATTGCGAGGTAGTGGTGACAATAATATCCTCTCCGTGAACGTTTTGAGTCTTGGTCGTGACAGCTGTAAGCTGCTGTTGTTCTTGTTGTTGCTTTTCAATTTCGGCCGCTTGCTGGCGTTGCATCGATGGAGCACTGATTTCCATACCCAAAATAATATCACGTACTTCACTACTGGTAAGACTGGAAGTGTTGACATTGTTTTTCTTGCCGTAATCATTCAAGATGAGATCACGCAGTTGGGTTTCAACCTTGATCCAATCTTCATCCGATAATGTGGGCCAGATATGATGCTCTTGAGTGATCACAGTCTTGTCGGGTCGAAGGAGTAACTTTGTCTTATCCTGATTTACGTGCAAAGCACGCAAGATAAGGATCAAACGAGAGAATGCAGTGTACGATGAAATTGACTTTAGCCATTCGTCGTAAAGATTGAAGAGAACCATCTGAGGTTCAGTGGCACGCAGAATCATATCACCGAGTTTCTCGACCTTCATGGCGGCCTGGAAGGGTAATTGCAGCTCAGAGGCACGGATTGATATATTGGGGAAGTCAAGCAAATGTACTTCAAGTGGATCAAGAAGACCCTTTCTCGTAACGATGAGCTGTTTCGGTTGCTCTTCGATAGGCAATGATCGAATGAGAGCGGCAACTTCTTCAGCAGTCTTCCACTTAGCTAATTGTCCCAGACGTTTCTGACCTGCCCAGACACTTGTATGAATGATCTTCAAGAAGAGTTGTCCAGTACGAGGATTGAAGATGAAAATTGCTCCGTTGATTGGTTTGGTTGTCAAGTTACCTTCAAAAGTCTTGTGGATAGTAACACGGTAAACATTTGTGTCGTCAATGAAGAGCTGAATTTGGTTGCTGAAAAGTTCAGAGTAATTTTGAGAATTCAAAAACTCTTGGTTACTTTCGGACGCATACAATTGAAGACCCTTCCTAATACGTTCGCGCAAGACGTACAGAGCTGGGTTTGCCTTCATGATTTTGGCCATAGCTTGCTGTACCAATTGCTTGAGACCGGGGAAGTATTGTCCATATGCCGAGTAGAGATTGTAAGCAAGATCGATACCAATCATTAGACCAGTGGCCGAAGGATAAATACTCATACTATCGGTTGTATAATCAAGGTATTTCGCGCGGACGTATCGTTCAATGTCGTGAGAATCATAATCTCCGTAACGAAGTTGAACATCTACCCAGAACTTGTTCGTTGTGGTAGCTTCAATTACGTCTTTTGTGTCAAAGAGAATGGATGGGCGAGTGACGTTCCATTTGTGGCTTGCGAACAACAGAATATCAGCACAAGAGCTGTTCATCTTGTAAGACTTTCTGGGATGAATAGTCTCCTTCTGTACGGTCTCGATGCCAAGCTGCTCCAATTCTTGATCAAATACTTGTGCCAGATCCATGACTACACTCTCATGTATTCTATAAGATGAGGTTAGTGATGAAGGAAAAACTAGTGGACATGTTAAACTTACTTCTGCCAAAGATGGGCGCGGAAGATTTGGATGAGAGAAATCTTCAAAGTTGGAATTTTGCCGTGCAAGAAAATACCAGTAAGATCTAATTGGACTTGGAAACCAACGTAAACGTTGGCTCTGTTGATAGTCTGAATTTTAACTAGATATCAGCTTGTGTTCACGACTTCAAATGAATAGGATATTATAAAGTAAATTTTGCCTCAGAAGGCTTTTCGTTATTCCAAATTGGATAGGATATTTTAAAGCAAACTTTGCTTGAGAATATTTTCAATATTCTAAATTGAATAGAATGTTGTAAAACAATTATGCTTGAGAATACTTCTCAATGTCTCAAATTGAGCTTGACAATCAAATACCCTCTCAGACAGGATAGGGATTGGAATAATATAACTTACAGGTGACCACCAAAGAGTGAATCGTCGATTAGGAATCTGGTTGAGACCCGATCTTTGAGCGTTAGTCAACTTTTTGAACTTCATAGACCTAAAAGTCAAAAGTTAGCCAATTTTGGTATGTATTTCAGGGTAAAAAGGTTCTACTGACTCTTCAAACCCGCTATTATGGAGTACAAGGTAATCGTGACGGAGATACAGCTGGTCTTTATCGACTCGGAACCCAGCCCACTTCGTTGCCTCGGATTCAAGGGAGATGTCTTTGATTTTAAAGCTGTGCGTTTGCGGAATATAACGCTCAGATCCCTTCTTGCGTAGGAGTAAACAGGGCACTTCTTTCACGTTGCCAAATATCTGGGCTACGAATTCAGGAGTTTTTCGTGAATGGCTCGGATCCCACTTCATACGTTTCGTGGTCCAGACGCTGAGACCCAATGATCTTGCCAGTGCAACAACGTCCCAGAAGAGAGTCTTATGCCTCTGTGCGAACCCAAGCATATTTTCGGGATATACGTACCAGCCGTCAGAATCAATCAGACCAGCAAGAACAGCGAGACGAACTTCGCGCGTGTTCTTCATGTAAATCGACGGGATGTGCTTCTTGTCAGCCTCGGGTCCAGTAGTTTTACAAGACACACCAAGCTGTTGGAGGGCACGTAGAAGGGTATTAACACCTGTTTTACGACCGACCGAAGGATCGAGCGAACCGGCTGGAGAATCGACCGTGTCGATTATCTGACTCAGGAGCCGGTCTTGCTCTTCAGGCTGCAAGTCACCGTATGCTCGACGTCCACTTTGCAAGCGATGGATTCGTCGTTGAGAGACAGAGTCATCCGAGAGATTACTATTCCCAGTTCGGTCGCTGGGTTCTTCGTCATTTTCGGCTTGGTACTCGGTGATATCATCCTCGTCGTGGCTAATTGTCTCAATAAGTTCCATATCGAGCTCATCTTCCTCATCTTCGGACATATCATTGACATCTACAGGTTCTTCGGGGACTATAGACGGGCCAGCCATTTCCATAATGCCTCTATCGGATCTAAGCTGTGGCAGAGCTTCAGTTGGAATCGAGTCAGCTGGAACAACGGGTGGTGATGAAGGAATAGGCGATGAAGTTGAGTTATCCATGCCATCGACAAGCTTCTGCACATCGACGATGTCGATATTGGCTTTTGGCAAGGGTCTGTTAGCAATGCGAGTCCTGGCAACAGTCGGATATGAGAGGCTTCCGTGCCAAACAAGGTGAAGGTCTAACTCCGCAGCATGAGAAACGAGAAACTCCCTGACTTCGTGCTCGTGATTACTGAAGATTGTGGTCGAGCTACGGCTGCCATCTCCTAACCAGAGACCAAGAAAGTAGGGGTTGACCGGGACATCTTGCTCGGGCAACTCGAACCCAGGAGAACGAAAGAGCCTGTGCTTAGATCTCTCATTTTCGTCCAATTCTGCGAACTGGGTTGCTGTCATTAGAACTGTGTCGTAGCGTTCGGTGGAGGAAACGTCTCGGGATGCGGTAATTTGGAAATTCTGGAGAGTCAGTGTATTTTCTCCCTCGTCGTTGCCATCCTCAGTCTCTTCGTCTCCTTTCTCCCGGTGGAGGACTAGAATATGGTTTCCCGTGACAACGAGGTCTTCTTTACGTGAGCCGACCTTGATTCGGTAAAGCCTGTCTTTGCCACTGACGATATTGAAGGCTCGACGGGGTTCACCGTCCGGACCGAGAAGTAGATCCCCTTCCTTAACGTCCTGAACGACGACGTCGCTACCGTCGTATCGTAAGACTCTCGTATCCCAAGCAAGACACGCTTTTTCCCAAAATAGGCCCTCCCAGGATGGAAATGCTGTCGCCTTAAAGAGTGTGTGTTCAAGAATGGTTTCGACACCACCAAGCGCTTGAATAACGTCGGTACGATAGGCGTTGAGGTTCCACAATTTACCATCATGACGTTGACTAGTCCACCAAAATGGATTACTCTTCATAAGTTGGTATGTCTTGAACTCGGTACGCGCGCGGAATCCTTTGTCGAAACTCAAAGTGCTCCTATCCTTTTGGAAAAGAGTGTTAATACGAGGTAATCCACGATCCCAACTATCTTCAAGATCCTCCAGTGTCAATCTTCGGTTTTGTTGATTTGCCTCTTGACGTTTCTGAGAGTATTCAGTCCACACACGCTGAGAGTCGATGAATTCTGCTTCCCATGGTATGATGTATCTGAAAATATTAGGAATAAGAGTGTCTTCGTCATGAGTCATGCCTGCACGATAATGCGTAACACCAACATCGGTTTGCTTGGACCATCTTTTATCACTTGTAGGAATGAGGATATGTGATCCAGATATCATACCGAGACCGCCAAGTTCCTTAGGGGTGTAGAAAACCGCAGGAGGGAAACGAGAAGGCATCTTAGAATTAAGACCGATCTTAACTCTGGTCTGAATCTTCGTTTCACATTTCACAATGGTATCTAGCAAGTTGACCGTGGATACAGCTGCTTCACGATAGTATGTGAAGAGGGCGATCAAAGTAGTGTTCCACTTATTAGCGATCTTCGTGAATGTAGTCGAACCTGAGGACATCAGAATTTGACGAATGCGATTGTTGAATTTGGCAATGTCCTCCTCGGTTACCTGCAAGAATGCATGCGCCGTTCTCTCCTTGCTGGTATTATCGACCAAGGACCAGACGCTGTCCTTGACCGGGAATTCGTCATTTTGGTTACGAATCTTAGGGAGAATTCGAACTTCGAAACCGCACATAGAGAAAAGTAAATTAGGGTTATCTCGGCT